GTACCTCCCAGGAGTAGGTTCAATATGTTAAGAACTGATGAGATGTAGTTTACCTTTTAGCATATTGGATGCACATGTTGTTTCAATGCCAGCAGTGCTAAAGTTGTCTTTTACGGCAATGGGAATTCCATCTAAAATTCCAAGAGCCTGACCTGTGTTAGAAGCCAGGAAAGTGACAAGGAAGAGAGAGATCAAAATAAAAAAGTACATTCACCCTAGCTATTGCTCTGATCTGTCTCTCACCTCCTTCTACAGCCTTAGTTAAGAGAGTTACAAATTCTCTGAGGCCTGATGCCTAAGATCTTTCCCTTGGGTCTGGAAGGCTCTGACTCTTTGTCTCCTTGTGACTGAATCTTTGGATCCCTTCAAGTCTCAATCCAGATAACCCTTCCTGCCTCCTTCCCTGCCCCCTCCCCCCCAAGCTCTTCCCCAACTATCCCAGATATTAGGAATGGCTCTTACCTCTCTAGTTTCTTTGTACAATACTTATTAAATGCAAGGATCATTCTCCCCCAGGAGACTGCAAACTCGTCAATGGCAGGAATTGTTTTGTTTCTGCCTTCATACCCCCAGTGCCTAGAACAGTGACTGGAACCTGAAAGTGCTTAATAAATGTTTGCTACACAGACTAACCAGTCTTTGTCATAAAAACACTTGATTTTAAATAGAAATTCTAACAGCTGAAAATTCCAAATATACTTACTAGCATCAGTTTATTATTCTTCATGTCAATTTGATCAAATGAGAGCATATGTTATATTAAAAGCATCACTTCCCAAATGCTAATCTAATAAACTGTTCCAGGAAAACAGCAATAAAACACTTTTAAGTAATTTACCTTTCTCATACCTCTTTTCTGATTCTTCAGCTTGCTTTAAGGCTCTCTCTTCTTCTACGGTAATGTAAGCATTAAGAAATTTGGTTTCCTTGATAAGGGAGAGACATTTTTGACAAAGCTCCATTGGACTGACTTGGCCTTGTTTCAGTGCAGCAGAAACCTGAAATATATGCAATTTAATTAACATACAGTGTACATACAGAGTATAGGTACTTATGTTGTACTAGGAATAAAAGGTAACAAGAAAATATAAGATTTTCCCTCAAGGAGCTTACACTCTAGCCCAAATCAGGTAAACAAATCCAAAGGCAGTATAATTAACTACCCAAGCACCCTGAAGCAGCGTGACTTCATTCAAACAGCCCTGTGCTAAGAGGTCCTTAGGAAGACACGTATAGATAAGACAGAGCCCCACAAAAGTACTTTGCAAATTTTAAAGCAATTTGTGGAACTGAATATACGTGGAAAATGCAGAACATTATAATAATAATGTGCTATCCTATTACATCAACATCAAATGATGAAAGGATCACACAATCTCAGGTGGAAGGGACCTCAGAACTGCAATCAAACCATACCTGCAGAAGCCCTCCACAACATTCAATGATCATCCAGCAGATAGACTGCACCAGCACAGTCCAGTCTTTTTAGTGTTGAAAAGTTTTGTTCCCTACCCCCACCCCCCATACTGAGCCGAAATATAGCTTTAATGCAATTTCCCAATTCTGCCTTCCGGAGAAGCTAATGACTGAGCAAGGCAGACATTTTGAATTGTTTTTCTAATAGCTGTATGAACTGTGCTCATCCACATACACTATTTCATGTTCCCCTTAGGACTAAAGACTCACAGAAACTTCAAGAAACCAGGCAGGTGAGCAGTGTGTGGCTAGGAAAGAAAAGCAGGCAAGCTAACAAAGGAAGTCGATCAATGATGCTATCACTGGATGCTCTAGCTTGTAGTCTAGTGATTAAGATTGTGACTTTTAATGTCATGACACAGTTTCCTTTTCTGGACAGGGAAGAGGCTAGATAGATGGCCGTAGGGAAGAAGGCAATATTTTATTTTGCTTAAACTGAGGAAGTCAATTCTTATCTTTGAAAGGCAGAAATCTCTTATACCATCTTGACAGTTCAATTCCTGCTCCTTATACTTACCGTGTGCTGTGAACAAATCACTTAACCTCTGGGTCTCAGTTTCCTTATCAGTAAAATGGGGATAATAATACCTGTACTACCTGCCTCACAGGGTTGTTTTGAAATGTAAATAAGAAACTGGAACTTGGAAAACACTTTTCTCATTGAAACAATGTCATAAATATGGAGTGAGGATCCTAGATTAGTACCAATAAGCCCCACAATAAATGCCACCAAAACTAAACCTATAATGTAGTATTTTGATACATTTCTAGTCCCAGTTATAGGTGCTAGGAGCATGCACAGCTCTATGCAGTACAGGAAGGAGGAAGAGTTTAGTCTCCCTACCCTGAAGCCCTAAATAAAAGTATGAAGTAAGTGGTTTGACTTTGAAATCCTAACTCCCCTTTTATATCCCTCTCCCACTTCCTGGAGCTTCTCTTCTTGAAAGCCCACTGGGGCTGAGGGGGTAAGAACCAAGAAGCAGCTAAGCCAGTCCTGCCTGGCAGTGTGTCCTCATCGTGAGTTTCCCCAAGTTATTCCCGATTTTCACAGTTTCTTCCCTTTTCTCTAGTTATGAACCTAGATTCCATAAAAGGGCCATTTCCCCCTCCCAGAATTATAGATAATCTCAGAGGGAAGGAAGGCACTGGTATTGAAGGGGTTGGGGATTTTCCAAACTGCTTTAAAATTTGCAAAGTACTTTACCATACTTGAGCCTCATAGCAACCCTGCCAGGTATGTTATCAATCAATCAACAAGAATTTATTAAGTGCTCATGTGTCAGGTACTCTGCTAAGCCCTTTGGGGTACCAATGTAAAAATAAGGTAACTCTTATACTTAGTGTAGGTATGTATGTATGTATATTAAACACACATGTATACATGTATCTATATTACACTATATTTGGTATATATGCTTAACTGTGTACCAAGAAAAGATAAGCTCTACAGAAAAAACTGATTCTTTTTTTCAATTTCTTAGACACCTAGAAAATAAATCAATTTTTTCCATGAAGGAATTTATCTTCTCTTGGTGCACAATTAAGTTTATATACCAAATATATATGCAAAGAATATAGTAATGTATTATAGTCAAATATATTACTATATCACATATAGCAATAAAGACATAGTAATATACAAATATTTTGTTGTTGTTCAGTCATGTCTGACTCTTCGTGACCCCATTTGGGGTTTTCTTGGCAGAAATACTGGACTGGTTTGCCATTTTCTTCTCCAGCTCACTTGACAGATGAGGAAACTGAGGCAAACAGGGTTAAGTGACTTGCTCAGGGTCATGCAGTTCATAAATGTCTGAGAGGCCAGATCTGAACTCAGAAAAATGAGTCTGCCTGACTCCAGGCCCTGCACTCTATCCACTGTGACACCTAGCTGCTTGGAACATGTAAATAATACACAGACGTATTACATATACGTAACATATAATAAAAATATATAATAAGTACTACAATTCTATGTAATAAATATATTATCATTCCAGTTTTATAAACAAGGTCAAAGACTTGTTCTGCATCTCTCCTTGCATAAAGTGGGATTTTAGCTGCAACTTGAAGCAAGCTAATAGGACACACAGCAGGCGATTAATAAGTGCTAGCTGACTAACATATAGTTAATTCTAGTCGACTGACTTAAAAGATCACACATTGAACCGGAGGAGAAGCGGCTGAGGATGGTGATCATTTTACAAATGAGGGCACTGAGTCCCAGAGAAGTTAATGACTTGTCCAAGATCACACAGTGGCCAGTGCTTGATCAAGGAAATGAGGTGGAGGCGGCTGCAAACGGAAATAAAAGGTGCTATTTAGCATAAGTGACCATTTGTAAGACCCCTTCTCCTCCAAAGCGAGGAAACGGGAACCGTGGGTGCTTTTGGAAAGCCCCACAAGACACCCCACACTAAAAGGCGCCCTAACCCTGACCTAAGAGGCTGGGCCCCACACGGGCCTGGCGCACACGCACTGCGGGACGAGCCTGGGCCCGAGAAGGCTACGGCGACAGCGACATCGCAGGCCACCTCCCTGCGGCTGCCCACCGCCCATCGGGCCGGGGGGCGCGGACTGCGGCGCCCCACGCCATGCCAGGGACCGCTCGGGCGCCGGTCCCTCCCCCAGCAGGCCGGTGACACTCACTTCTCGGAGGCTGAGGCCCAGCATGGTGCTGCTCTCTCCGGGGTCAGCCGCCCGGCCCCCGTAACCCTGCAGAAACCTCAGAGCAAAAGAGCGGCGGAGGGGAAAAAGGTCAAGGTCCGCCGCTTGCCGGAGTTACATGGGCGCGGCCATCTTGGATCTGCCTCCTCGTACCTCTTAGCGTCGCGCGCTCTGGTTGGTCCCCGGGCAATGATCCTCGCACGCCATTGGCTGCCGCCGCGCCGGCCGCTGCCTGGGTCATGCCGGGGTGTGAGGGGGCACTCGTGGAGACTAGGAAGCTTCAAATCCTCCCGGACCTTCCCGACCTCTGAGAGCTCAGACCCCGGCCTGGGCTGGGGACGGGTGGGTGCGCCTCTTGGGCAGCCTGCCGGGACCTCGGGGAGCCAGCGGGGCTGGGCAGGGGCCTTAGATTGTTAGGTTTATAGCGGGCTGGGTCTGCACGGGAGCTTTAGGGGGTAGGAGGCGCGGAGATACTGCTTTGCAGGGCAGGGAAGCAGGGAGAGTTATTATTATTATTATCGGATTTTTTTTTTTTGGAGGGAGAGATAAATTAGAAGAACGGGCAGAGCCCATTCGTTGTAGACTAAAGTTGGATTTTGACCCTTGACACGAACAAGAGTAAAAACAGAGTTGGTTATTGATTGATTATTCCGAAAAAAATTTTTTTTTTAGCCATCTCATATCCTAGGGTGTGTTCAGGTTACTTCCAATGCCCCCCTTTCCATTCTCAGTATTGACTTTTTAAAAGGCATTTTTTAGCCGAATGCGGCTGAAGTAAGGCAGGGTGTGTGAGGGGGGGAGGGGGGGGGGACACGACCCTGCTGGGGCTCGGGGTTCTTAGGCTTAGGTGGGGCTGGTGCGGGAGCCACGTGGGCGGTCAGTGCCGGGGATGGAGGTTCTGAGGATGCTCGTGCTGAGGAGGGCGGGCGGTCTCTGCCCGGGGAGATGCGGGACTCTGGCGAGACCTCCGCGGGTCCGAGACTTCAGCACCACGGCTTCCAGGAGCACTGTCATGCCGGCTTGGGTGATCGATAAATACGGGGCCAATGAAGTGCTCCGATTCACAAAGAACATGATGTTTCCTGTCATATACTATCCAAATGAAGTCATTATTAAGGTCCATGCTGCCAGTATAAACCCTATAGATGTTAACATGAGAAGTAAGTTTTTTTTTTCCTAAAACTGTTATTAATGTATTGAAGGGTTTTTTTTGGTGTGTCTTATAGAAAACTTGGGCAGAGATACAGATTGAGAACAGGTCAAATGTAAGCAAAACAAAACAAAAAAAAAACTCAAACATTTGATTTGAAGAATCCTTTAAATTTGCCCCTTCACAACCTTGTTGAAATTGGAACTTGTATAAAATACAATAAAGATTGTATTCTTTTAATGTAAATTTGATCAGTTTTTATGTTTGATAAAGTCATTTGAGTTCTATTTCTTCATAAATTATCAGTTGGGGGGGTTGTACTTGCTACCAAGTGTTCTCACATTTTGTAGTGAAAAGAATACTAGATTTTGAGTGGGACTTATGTCATTTAATTAGGTGCTTTCTCTGGGCCTCAGTTTCCTCGCTTGTAACATTAACGGGTTAGATTAGATGACCACAGAGGTCACGTTCTGTGAACATCTGTCGTGACCGTGAAGATTTAATGAGGCCAGCTTCAGGTCCTAGAGTTTCCATACTATAACATCATCTGGGCCTTAATTTCCTCATTTGCAAAATGAGGGGGTTGGACTAGAATACTCACAGAGGTCCCTTTTTTAGGGCCAGCTGTGGTGACCATGGAAATTTACTGAGGTCTGTGTCAGATCGTAGAGTTTTCTTGCTGTAATTACATCAGTTCAAGATTTTGAATTTTTATTATTTGCCAGTCATGTTCATTGCTAACAATTTATTTAGTGTACTGGAGAAACCAACAAAGTAAAGGCTAGGATTATTCTTGTGTCTTCAATTTAGTGGTACTTTGCCCAATTTCAACTCATTTACACTATTTGTTAATTTCCCATCTGTAAGTGGTATACTAGACTTGTGATTTCATCAGTACAGCAATGTCCCTGTGAGAAAACTCCTTCCAGCCGTGCAGATGAGCACCTTAACTGATTTGCCAGGATATTTGGCCTTGAAAGATTAAGTGCTATTACTAAGCAAGTACGTGCTAGACGTAACTTAAACCCACATAATTCTGACTCCAAGGCCAACCCTTTATCCACCACACCGCTCTTTTTCTTTGAGTGGGAAATAATGCCTTAATAATTATACCAGTGAACTATGTTTGCAAAAGTTGGCATTAGGTGAAAGTTTACAAGAAATATGGTTCACTAAAGTTTATCGGAATGTTGAACTGGTTTATTACTCTGAGTTGTTTTCACTTGGGAAAAATTGCTATGGGATTTTGCATCTTCAAATCTGTGGAGAACTTAGTTGTATCTTTGGCTATGATGTCAGAGAGCAAGTGACTTAAAATGCTCTAGTACATTAAGTATATTGAGGGGCATAGTTTGGACTCAGAGGACCTAGGTTTGAATCCCTTCTGTTAATTATTACCTATAAAATGGGGAAAATAAAACTTGATACCTATATCAGAGTTGTGAAGATCAAATTGGATGTAGTAGCTTTGTGAACTTTGAAGTGCCATATAAATGTCAACTATTTTCATCTAAGGAAATATAATTACAGCCATGTAAACTGCTGGGCCAGTTAGCCTCATATTTTTATAAGTAAGCTATTGAATGTTATTAACTTTGACTGCATGTTCTTTGTTGCTACTGTTTATAGTCTCATAAGCAGCCATTATAAACCCTCCACAATATATCCTTAATGATATATTCAGATTTTTTAGCTGTGTTTGAGGGACTAACCTTTCTGTATTTACCTATCAGTTACCAAATTAAGATTAATAATAAACTATACTCCAATAGGGGATTTATATATACATAAATTGAAACCTTATTACTTTGCTTTATTCATGCACCAACCAAAGTGGGAATGTGTTTCTGCAGCTTTTACCTTCTTTTCACAATGAGCCCTATTCTCCTTTTTTTTCCTGGAATGGTTTGACATTTGATTAGAGAAACAAGTAGAACATTCTCTACCTGTTCCTCCTTCCTTTGACTACTGGCTTTCAATGCTGGCATTGTTTGCTTTGTTATTCATTGTCCAGTTTGGCTACATAGACTTTGGAGCTTTTCTTTTTTAAAGGGTGAAAGAGCACTTCTAGAGTTTGGGGGGCCAAACACGTTTGGGAAAACATATATAGCTAGGCTTAGGGGAATGCAGGAATCCCTTTTAAAAATAAATTAAATGGCACGAAATAACAGTATGAAGTACTTTTGTGATTAAAGATGTAAATTTATCTATATGTAAGTGATAGATTGATACATATTTATCATTATTTTATTTTTGGGTAAGCTCCTTGAAAGTAGGAATCATGTCTTTCCTCTTTTCTGTAAATTTCTCATAATGCTTATGGTTCTCTTAGAGTAATTTTTTAGCCCAATAAGAAAACAGTGTGGTTGGAAAGAATTCTGGTCTGGGAGGCACGAGATAGATATGTGTTCTATTTCTGTCTGTGCCACTAATTTGCTTGCCTGACCTTGGACAAATCATTATATTTCTTTTGTCTCATAACATAAGGGTTAGCTTTTATGATCTCTAAGGTCTCATAATGGCTTGAGAATTTGTGATTCTAATAGTTAATAAACATTTATTGAGCACCTTCGAAGGGCCAAGCACTGTGCTTAGTGCTGGGGACACAAATAGGAAAAAAAGCAAGGTTCTGCCTTCAAGGAGTTTCCAGTCTAATGGGATGATACACACCAAAATGATGAAAAGGGGGCATCAGGGTGTGGGGAAAGGCAGCCTACCAGGTGGCATGGTGAAAAAGTCAGAAATCCCAGAATAGGCGAGCCAGGTGAGCTCTGAGGAGCTTTTCTGAGCCGGAGCCCCCTCCTCCAGAGGTTCAGAGGGGATGATGAGCTGGATGGAGAGCCGGGGCTGAAGGAACCCTGCGGGGTGATGAGGTTTTCCCAGCATTGAGCATCCTGGGCCAGGGTGGAAAAGTCAGAGAAGTCCCAGATTAGCGCAGACATGTGAGAAATGAGCAATTATTTAAAAACAGTTTATTTTTAACATTTAATACTTTCATAGTTTGTTTTAAAATAGTCATTTTAATTTTGATCCAGCGTCCCCATGGCAAAGTGGAAGGATTTGGAGTCAGAAAATCTTAGCTCTCCAGCTAGATGGGACCCCAGAAACCATTTAGTCCAAGTCTCTTGTCTTTTGTCGTTCAGTCTGACTCTTTGTGACCCCGTTTGAGGTTTTCTTGGCAAAAATACTGGAATGATTTGCCATTTCCTTCTCCAGCTCATTTTACAACTGAGGAAACTTAGGGTTAAGTGACTTGTCCGGGGTCACAACTCTAGTAAGTGTCTGGGGCCAGGTTTTAACTGTGGCAGAGGAATCTTTGGGCCTCCAGGCCCAGGGCTTTGTGCAATGTGGCGCCACCTAGAGGCCATAAGGGAATGTCAGAGGTAGGATTTTAACCTTGGTTCTCTTCACGAGCCGGTTCTTTTCAAGTATATAGATAGATCCCAGTTCTGCTTGCTTCTTAACTTGTGTGACCTCAGACAAGTTAGTTAAACTTTTCAGCTCAGTTTCCCCATCTGTAAGACTAGGGGCTTGGACTTTATATAAGATGTATACTTGCTTTAAATTCTCTGACTTTAAGCCCAAATTGTGAGTATTTTTACTCCTTTCTGGGATTTGTACCTTATCTTTTAAAGCTTTACATTCAGAACTTGTGCATTTCTGTTTTCTCCCCAGTGAAATTTACAAAACCAAATCAGTGGTCCATTGGCTGCTATTTAACAATCTAATAGAGAAGCAGATTTTGTTTTTATATGGTATTCATGAGACCAAATGACTTCTTTTGAGCTAGCAGTGATAGGGATTGACATTTCCAGGTTAGTCTGTCTTGTTGCTAACGTACTCCCTGCCTTACTCCCATTCCCGATCCATAGATTCTTGTAGGGATTGTACAAAGTAAGAAAGATTGTAGAAAAGTAAGGAAGTTGTCTAATCTGTTTTGAAAGGAAGACAGCAACTGATGGGCATAAAATGATAATCATGGAAAATACTAGAAGAATGGCAGCCTTAAAATCTAAACTGAATCGAAGCAACCAGTGTCAAACCAACATTTGTTTTGTATTAACCAAGCTATAAGGCTCCCAGTGCCATAAGGGTCATGCAAACATCAGGGCCACAGAACCTTTGTAATCTTTAGGACTGGCTTCCTCTGAATAGGTCTAGATAATAACTTAAGTCAGCCAGTCAAATCTACCCCCTTCATTTCACAGTATTTTGTGCCACACAACAAGTTTGTTATTTTCAGGTATCAACTATTTTGCTCTTGTGAGATTTTTTTTTTTAAACTGCAGATATATGTCAGTATATCAGAGATACTCATTTGACCCATCCTGTGGACCTAGTTAACTAGTTTGGCTGGATGGCATTTCATTTGGACCATTCTCAGAATAGCATATAGTGTATGGGAGAGAAAACTCATAGTTTCATATGAACTGAAATTCTGCTTTGGGGAATGCCTACTTCTGCTGCCTATGTCTCTGTTCAATGAATAGGCAGCATTTATCTATGTTTTTGTGGAGTTGGAAAAAAGAGAAGAAGCAGTGAAATATTTATACAGTGTTTTTATCGTTGCAAAAATGTATTACATACATTCTCCCTTGGTCATCACAATACTTTGTGAAGTTCGTCCAATTGATAGTGCTCATCTCCCCCAAGGCATTTTTGTAATTTTTTTTTTGTATTTTGTATATTTTGTATTTATCTCAGTCGTTTGTTTTCACCCCACATGTACCCCAAACCTCTTCCGCTTCAGGTGTAGAGACTCTTAGATTTTTGGCTGTTTTGTCTTGGAGGCTGCCATGATAACCTGCCACATTAAATGGACTCAATACTTGTAGAATTAAGTACTGTTGAGTTAAATTAAATTAGATAATGCAAGTATGTTACAGAAGGTAGGATTCAAACCCAGATCTTCTGACTCAAAGTCTAGGGCTCTTCCTAGTACACCATACTGTCTCATAAATATTGAATGCCAAAGTGGTAATGGTTATTTTATTTTGTTCACTGGCCACAGAATACACCTGAACACTAATAAAATGGCCTATTAGTATATGTTTTTTTGTTGTGAGAGAGAAAGGGGGATGAGAGGTGAGGGAAGAGTATGACTAGATCATAGAATCAAACAGACTCCAAATAATATATAGCTTGTATTTTAAAAATTATGTTGGCTTAGAACATTTTCCCATAGAAATAGTGTCATAAGTGGGAATTAGATTCCTATTTGAGCCTTTAAATTATATTAAATCCTTAATAAGGATGTATTGTAATCCTAATGGCATGATCCTGAGGGAAGTAGGCCTGTGAGGTACAGCAAAGAAGAAGAGAAAAAGAAATAGAAAATTTTGTCCTTTTTTCCCCCTTTCCTCCACCACTATGGACCCTTTCTAAAGCACTACCCTGGGCACAACTTTGAAAATAAGTGAAATTTGTCTTTGGCATCCTCCCACCTTAGTTTCTGTACCCTCCACATTGCCCTAAGTCTCATTGTGGTATCTCACCCAAACCTGTTTTAACCTCTAAAATTGCTCAGCTACCTCCTAGTCAAAAACTCCCTTCTGGTCAATGGGGCTTATCTCACCTAGAGGCCAGGGAGAAATCAATCTCAAATAAATTCAAAATAATGTATGCCTAATCTCAAACCCCACAACTTTCCCAGAGTAATTGGTGTTTTTAACAAGAAGATTCTTATTAATGAAGAAATCTCTGACTGGTGGCATTTCAGGCAGTTTATAAAAGTTGTTCAGACAATAAACATTTATTAAGTGCTTTCTATGTGCTAGGCACAGTGCTAAGCTTAAGGAATACAAAGAAAGGCAATAGAGAAGAGATATTTTGGGGCAGGAGCACAGCTAATTGATCTGGGGCAGAGCAACTCTTCCCCTCCCCCTCTCCTTTCCTTCTCCCCTCACCTGTTCTTGCTTTTCACAGCTTCTTTCTGTTCTCGACTTCTGAGTCCTCAAAGTTTTTTCATGAAGCAAACAGCAGTGAGTGTGGGGCCGCCATTTTAGGGGGGGAAGGAGAATTTGTAAGACAGGTGTTTATAAATGAGGATTGATTTCTATAGCTTTTTCATGTAGGAGTCACTTATTCACCAAATAATTATTAAGCATTCATGTGCCAGGCGCTATGCTAAGCACTGAGGATAGAAAGGCAAAAACAGCCCTGCTCTCAGAGAGCTCACATTTAAGGGGAGGAGAAGACAAGCCAACAACTATGTATATACAAGCTATATACAGGCTAAACTGGAAGCAATTTCAAGGAAGGTCATAGCACTGGAGGGGGGTAGGGAAAGGCCTCTTGCAGGAGGCAGGATTTGAGTGAGGAAAGTGGAGAGACCAGGAGACGAGTGAGGAGAAAGAACGTCCCAGGCATGAGGAGTCAACTCCCACCATGGCACAGAGTTGGCAGATGGAGTGTGGCATGCAAGGAGCAGCAAGAGGACCAGTGTTACTGGATTGTTGTTTGGAAAGGGGCCGTGTCCTGAAGGATGTTAAAAGCCAAGCACAGGATTTTGTATTTTATCCTGGAAATAATAGAGAGCTATGGAGTTTAGTGAGTAGAAGGCCTGAACTTTAGGAAGAAAACTGGCAACTGCAGCGGAGAGAAAATTGAGGTAAAGAGACCAACCAGAAGGCTGTTGTAATAGTCTAGGTGTGAGATTATGAGTGGTGACTGTGTCAGAGAAGAGAAGGAATCTTTCGTAAGAGATGTTATGAAGATATAAAGGTTAGGACTTGGCAAAAGATTGGATATATAGTTGATTGGTTGGAAAGAAAGTAGAAGATGTACTGACAAATTCAGATTCACTGAGGGGCATCTATTTGTTGGGAGAGAGATTGTCTGCAGGTGGTCATTTACCTGGAGCCTTTAAGAAGTGGCCTCTGAATCAGTGTGGTACTATGGAAATGGATTTGGAATCGGAAGACCCTGGGTTTAAATCCCCTTATTGCCTGTATGACCTGGGGAAGTCACTTTACCTCTGTGGGTCTCAGTTTCTTTATGCATAGAATGAGGTAGTTGGACTAAATGATGTCTAAAAATAATAATAGCTAACATTCATATAACACCTACTATGTGCCAGGCAATGTACCAAGCAGTTTACAGATAGTATCTCATTTGGTCCTCACAGCAACCTTGGAGGTAGGTGTTGTTATTATCCCTATTTTACAGATGAGGAAACTGAGGCAGACAGGTTAAGTGACTTGCCCAGTGTCATACAGCAAGTGTTGAGGCCAGATTTGAACTCAGGAAGAGGAGTCTTCCTGCCTCCAGGCCCAGTACTCTATCAGCTGTGCCACCTAGCTGACATTTAGGACAGGGTATTGGGTATAGACAAGATAATACAATTTTGCCTTGTTTATTGATTTGAGTTACTGTAAACTGTGTGGTTGGCCTGTTGAGAATAGGAGATAGCTCTATTTACTTTCTATTTTGACTCCTTAAAAGAAATGAAAAATGTGATTCTAAAGTAGTAGAAAGAAATAATTTATTATATAAGTACTAAGTAGTAAAAAGGAGAAATAATTTATTATATAAGTACTACACTTGGCCACATAGAAGGCAGTCAGTCTGGAATGTCAAGGGGGTCCATGAGGCATAACTGTGCATAGATTTCAGGCAGGTAGACATTGCATTAAAAGATGGAATGACCTGGATCAGGGAGGATTCAAATAGTGGTTAAGAGTCTTAACAGAGGGATAAGAGATCTGGATTGTGGAGGAGAGCCAGTACAGCCCTGGTTAGGGTGTTTATCTCTGAAGGCTTCAGCCAGATGGTGACCATCTTGGCCCCTAGTCTTCACAGTCAGGCTGCTTGGACTTTTGCCTCTGCTTTCTTCCCTTGAGCTTTAATCGGGGCTCTCCAGGCAGAATGGAAATTGACAAGTTGTTACTAAGATGGCCCAAGAGCTAAATTTGTAAGATTTTAATGAACAAGCACACTTAATATTTATACATCCGAAAGATCCCTTCTGAAGTTGTCACCTGGGGAGGTTATACACTTGTTCTGTCAATTCTATTGCTCATGATGTTTTAGAAGTTCCTTTTTTGGAATTGACCCTTAGAACTCGTTAATATTCCCAACTCCATTTTCTCTCCTGCTCCAAAAAAAATTCAGTTGTATTTGTTTATGACTATTAGCTTTTTTGGTTTGTTTAAAAATGATGTTATCCAGCTTGACTATCTCTGTTATATGCTAGATTTGGCCCTAAATATATCGGAGACATTTCTAAAAATGTAATCCATCCTCTGATAGCAATAATTAGCATTTATGTAGCATATTTAAGGTTTACAAAGTGTTTTAAATTGTGTCATTTGCATTTCACAATAACTAACAAGCATAGAGATGTGAGGCGGCTTGCTTATGGGGACATGGCTGATATGTGTCAGATGGAATTCAAATCCAAGGCTGTCCTTGACCTCACGCTCAATGTTTTTTTCAAAGGCAAAGATTTGTCACCATTGAAAATAATCAAAAGAATATGCCTTAGACACTAAAGTCATTTTCAAAAGGGAAGAACCAAAAGATGTTGCTTTGTAAGGTGACTACTTTGAATGGAACAATATTCATCTATATTTAGTATCCTTCCTTCTTTCCTCTCTTCCCTTCCTCCTTCCATCTTAAAACTGAGTCTTCTAATCTCTCCCAGGCTGGAGATGCAATGGCTTCTCATGACCTGGATCCTCTGTGATCAGCCTGAGCTTTGATATGTTCCGTTTCCAACCTGGGCCAATTTACTCCTCTTTAGGGAAGGGCCTAAGTGTTCCCCTCCCTCCTCCCTTCCCAGAAGTTCAGTATAAAACTAGTGTGGTCTTTATTTTGTCTTCTGAAGAGTCATTACTGAGTCGGGAGACTTGGATTCTGGTTCCAGCCCTGCCACAAGTTAGCTGGCTCACCTTGAACAAGCACTTTCACCCCTATGGGTCTTAGTTTTCCCTCTTCCATAAAACAAGGATCTAGGAACTGCAAAGTTATTTTTTGCTTTAAAGTTCCATGAATCCATTTTACTTCATCACACCTCAGGTACCCAAGGAAGCTAATGTTTATTTGTTTCTGTTTTATGCTTTTGCGGTTGTATTTAAATTTGTCTAGCCCTCTTCTTAAACAGGGGGAAAATTGATAAATCATGTTTTATAGGTGGGTATGGAGCAAGAGCTTTAAATATGAAGCGTGATCCACTGATTATGAAAGACCTTGGGCAAGAATTTCCTTTGACCCTGGGCCGGGATGTCTCTGGCGTGGTGATGGAATGTGGGCTTTCCGTCACCTATTTCAAACCTGGAGATCAGGTGATGTAACCCAATACTGCTCCTGCCTGTCACCTGCTTTACCTTTTTTTTTTATCTCTTGAAATTTCTTGTGGGTGACTTCATTCTAGAACTTAATCATCAGTGAGAGTGCCTGGTTGATGACCTTACTTTGTTCATGTTACTTCCTGACCTCTTTGGCTAGTGTTTCCCTGGGAGAATTTTAAAATTCTAAAATAATTTCATTCAGCAACATTCATGTGGACAATCTTTTGTACTAGGCATTCTTGGTGGTCTAGTACGGAGTATCCATTCACTTTAGGAATTAGGAAAGCTGGGTTCTCTTCCTGCCTTTGCCACGGACTGACCATGAGACCTTTGATCAGTCATGTAATTTCTTTAGACCTGCTTCCTCATCAATAAAATGAAAGGGTCAGATTACAAGAGCTCTTAAGTTCCTTTCAGCATAATGTTATCTGAAAGTTCAAGATAGGATTCTTGCCCTCTGGGGCAATAGTTTGATTTCTGGATTTTCTTAAATCCATACCTTTTTGGGGGAAGAAGGAGAGAATATCTGGGAGATATATTTATATATAAGAATTAACATTTGGGGCTATTAGTTTCTTGTAGGAGCTCTTAAATGATAATTCTTATCCAAGAAGTTTTCACTTTTAAAATTGCTAAAATTCTGGCATAGCAAATGGATGTAAATCCTCAGATTAATTGTTTCTTGTTTTTAGCACTACAGTTTCATTAGGAGTTTTCTTTTGCTAATGAATATTTCAGGCCAGCTGGGTTTTATTTGGTTTCAGCTTTTCTCAACTACTTTAGCACCATTCAGCCTGCTTACTTAATTTTTTTTTTTAAGTTCTTTGCAAGAACACAAATACAGTGGGATGTTCTGGCACCAGGCTGTGTGGTGAGGCTGTGCCCACTGAAGCATACTAAGTTGTAGATTGACTCCTACTTGAAAATCATTTTGATTATAGTATACATCAATGTACTGCTTATGGGTACTTTTGGAGAGGGTAGGCTATGTTTTGAGAAAGAGAAGCTCTCTTAGCTTCACTAGATCAGAATAGAAATTTATTTTAAAATATTTATGTTTATATATGGATTTTTTTTTTTTTAGGTGTGGGCAGCAGTTCCTCCATGGAAACAGGGCACTCTATCAGAGTTTGTCGTAGCCAGTGCAAATGAGGTAACTACATGAAGAAGTATGTCATGAAATCAGAGAGAGTAAACAGATGCTTGTTGGAAAGCGTTGGCTGGTTTCAGAGCCTGGTATATACTTTGGGGGCAGTCATCAGGAAGGAGGAGGAGACAAAATCAGAATTTTGTATCTGTAGACTCTCCTGACTTGTTAAGATGAGGATTTAGAATAGAGCTCAAGATGTTTCCCTGGTTTACATGAGAAACAGGACCCATGTTCTTGTTGTCTCATTCTTGAAAACCAGGAGGCTGAATATTTGAGCAGAGGGGAAAAGTCAGCCAGGGGAGGGGGGATGGTCCAGCAGGCTATCAGGTAGAGGAAGGGAAGAGGGAATCTTTTGTTTCTCACTTAAGTGAATGGTGCTTTGAGAGGGAATAAAGTAATCTTAGGTGGTCTGCCTAAACTCTCCACTGAACCTGGCTATCTATGAAGCAGATCCACTCATTTGGTTATAAGACTTAGGGATAATTTTGGAGGCTTTAGGCCATGGGCTTTGAAAGACTTCACTAAACCTTGAATGACAAAGACTATAGAATCATACGTGACAGTTTGAGCAGCTTTTGTAAAGACAAATGTAACCTGGAAAAGAGGAAAGAGCTTTGCTTTTGGTCTGGGAGGCCTTAAGTTCTTCCCTGACACATCTTGACCATGTCATTGACTTCTCAGAGCTCTAGGCACCTCTCTGAGACTGTAATTTCTAGAGAAGGTGCTGTCCTGCATTAATTAATAGAGGAAGTTCACTCGTCGGTCAACTCATGAGAATTCCCTTTATCAGTGAAATTATAGGTCTGGTTCCTCCTATCCCTACTTAAAAGCAAGCTTATTTAATTTATTTTGGTATGAACATGTAAGTAATTGCTTGTCCCTGACATTTTTATCTTCAAATATAGGTGTCTCATAAGCCCAAGTCTCTCACTCACACTGAAGCTGCTTCCTTGCCCTATGTTGCTCTCACAGCCTGGTCTGCCCTGAGCAAGGTTGGTGGGCTGAATGACAAGAACTGTAGTGGAAAACGGTAGGAACCCAGACATATTCTTGGCTTTGCATTCCACCCCACCCCATCCCACCCCCACCCCCTTCCCCCAGCAAATATTTCAGAAGCATCATTCACATTAGAGATCAGCTATTGACTTATGCAGAGTGGGTCCATTGACATCTGGAACATTTGCAAGCAGGCTCCAACTTAAAAATGTACTGTTCTAAAAGACATATTTCTGAGTTGTCTTTTTGAAAGTAACAGATATTTTCCCATAGATGTGTGTATTATACAAAAGTCCTGCCCTGTTCATTAGCCTCTTTGTGTTGTAGATGAGGATCTGGATTCTTCAGATATTAGGCCAATACAGGACTGATTTCTGTTGAGGTCAATACCATCCTTCCAATCACCTGAGTTTCCCTCATCACACATATCCAGTTAGTTGCCAGATCTTGGAATTTCTACCTCCATAACATCTCTCAAAATCTGTTTTTGCTATTCACAGCTATTGTTCTCATCTTGTCTTTGTGTTCCTAGTGCCTGACTCATAATAAGCACTAAATGCTTGTTGATTCATTGATTGAAAGTTTACAAAGGATTTTCCTAGCCAAAACCCTGTGAGTTCAGTTGTATATTATTATCCCTATTTTGCCACTGAGAAAACTGAAGCTAAGTGACGCATCTCTGGTTCTATAACTTCTAAGTAGCAGAGCTAGGTTTTTTGACTTTAAGTCAAGTATTTTGTCCTTCTCTACCGTGTAGCTGAAACCTCTGGCAGGTTCTACCACGCTGAAAAGGTTTCAATTCTAAGCCTGACTTTGGTCTGGATATCTGTTGTCTGATGACTGAGATTGAGAAGGCTCATCACCAGAAGCTTGACTCCTCAGTTGGAAATATTTTAGAGCTCAGCAGCTCTTGGAACCAGCCTGCTGTGGCATGAAGAGGTGGTGAACTGCATGGCTTGAGGGAGTGCTCCGCCCCTCAGGGGGGCCCCCCCCCCGCCCACAAGTCTCAGATCTTTTGTTTTATTTTTATTAACAGAGATAGTAACAAAAACAAAGAATCATGGAAATGTACAGAGTGAGGAATAAATCTTATATACCTGCTAATTATAATTAGTTGTTTTATAACTAAGTAGAAACAAATGCATTTTGCTCCAGCACTTAACCACCATTCCTGGCACATAGTTGGCAGCCCCTTTCTAGGTTCTGTGTGAAGTTCCACAGCCTTTGACAGAGTTGTAGTCAGTTCTTCTGGTTCTGCTGATCTCATTACCTAATATTAGCCCTTTCCATTTTTTTGTACGCTTCATATTTTCTGACTCAAATATAGCACCATAATATCATGTTACATTAACAGACCGTAATAAAAACTTATTCTACTGTTAGACATATAGGTTGTTTCTAATATATTTTGCCATTACAAATAGAACAGCTAACAGTATTTGAGTACCAATAGGTCCTTTTTAGACTATTTGTCTGATAATTCAGAAGGTGCGATCAGTTCTACAACATTGTATCTTGCCATATTGCCTTCCAAAATATTTACACCACTGAAAAATTTTACCAGTAACATACAGTTGATCTGTATTATTAGTGAATTCTGTATTTGTGAATTTGTCTGTTTGCTAAAAAATTTTTTGTGACCTCCAAATCAGTACTTGTGGTGCTTTTGGAGTCATTTGTGGACATGTGCAGTGGCAAAAAAAAAACAATCCAATGCCCACATTCCCAGCTGAGGTTGAACAAAGCGGCTCCATGCCTTCTTGTTTCTGCTGTCCTACTGTAAACAATATGAAGGCATTTTTCATCAGTATGAAGGCATTTTTTGCAGTCTGTTTAGTGCCATGTTTTTCACATTTTTTGTGCTTTTTGTTGCTGATTTTGCTGTTTAAAATGGCCCTCAAGTATAGTGCTGAAGTGCTGCCTAGTGTTCCTAAGCACAAGAAAGCTGTGGTGTACCTTATGGAGAAAATACATGTGTTAGATAAGCTTCATTCAGGCATGAGTTACAATACTGTTGGCAATGAGTTCAGTGCTGAATCAACAATACGGTACATCCAGAAAAAGGAAGAGGAGATTCTGTGAGCCATATGGAAGCCTCTCTGCAAAGTGCTAAAGTTAAGTACTGTGGCCAGAGGCTCACAGAAGCCTAACCTGGTATTTTCCCCAGGAGCACTGCTTCATTGTTTGCTGATTCAGTGTTTGTGGTGACTTTATAGCACATAACTACCATGAATGATGAGAGTTGACTGGATTAGAGTGCCTAGTTTCCCCACAGTCCTGCCAGTGTTGGATTTTTTTTTTTTTAAATTTAAGTTTTAATTTTTTGGCTAAATTTTGCCATTCTAGAAAGCGAAATCACAGGTTTTTTGAAGTACACTATTGTATTGCAGTATTACTGTGGGAACTAAATAACCGTTGTGTCCAGTGTTTCTGCGATAAAATACATTTAAAGATGTACTTTGGGACATACCAAGAATACATCCTCCATGCATCCCTTCTCCCCTTTGTCTATAGCCCTGACATCCTTCCTCTGGCCTAGAAGTAGGAATGGCTTGGGGCAGGGGCAGGTGCTTCACCAGGTTGGGGAGCTAGTGCTAGCAGGAAAAGGGTAATAAGGGCAGTGAAAAATGTTTAAAAAGTGAGGAGTGAGAAATAGCATGGGGCTGGGACTCCTGTCACTGTAAACCTTGGAGACATTTTTCCACACCATTTATTTTTTTCCTGAGAGTCCCAGGGATTGGCTTGTCAGTTTCTCTTCCCTCTTCTACCACCTATTGTTTTCAACATGATTTCATAGCAATCAGGATTTTAGAACAGAAGGGGAGCCCAGCATTAGACCTGTTGTCTAATGTCTTCATTTTGTTGATGAGGAAAACTTAAGCTTAGAGAGTTTGTTAATAAGAATTATAATCTGTGATTTTATCTCCTAAAAAATCCCTGAAGTGGAAACTCCCTCCATTAATGCAAAGCAAAACCCATCTCTGACTTAATAAAAGTCTTAGGGATTTGTGCCTGAACCATCTAGAGGTTAAAAGCTGGATTTGAAGCCAGATCTTCATGACTTTCAGCCTGGCACGGTATTCATTTATTACACTACGTTGCCTCTGTAATAATGGTAGTAGATCCTTTTTATATAACACTAACATTTACAAAGCAGTTTCCTCATGACAACCCTGGGTGGTAGATGGGACAAATAGTAGCTTCCCTTGTAAAGGAGGAGGAATCTTAGGTACACAGAAGCGGCATTGAAAGCAACATGACTGGTTTCTTTCCTTATGTGACTCACCATGGAACACAACACACTTCTCAAACTTCTCTCCTTTCTTCCTGTCCTCAAGCAAGCATGCATCCCTTGTGATGTTTTCTCAGTGTTGTTATTTTTAGTAGTAAAAATTAGAAACTGGTTGAGGTATCCCTACAATATGTTCCTTTTTTTTCTCTTCGATACTCTTGGGAAAGACAAGAACTCACATAAGTGATAATAGTAGGTCTTTGGATATTCAAAGGACTGAAGAAAAATTGCTTTATATTTCAGAGAAGCACCTGCTTTATAATTTCTTCACAGTATCAGGATAGCCCCTCTGCAAGGCAAGAGGAACTGGGACGTGCTGAGGCTGCGGCTGCTAGAGTAACAGCAAAAGTTGTGAAGAGAGATAGCAGGAGCTTTGGGAAGTCATCAGCCCTCCTCCATGGTGCCCCCTGCTTCAGATACCTGCCGAGGGGAAGAGGGAAGGAAAATGAAAGGCATGGTGGGGTAAAAGACAGGCCTGGGTTCAAATCCTACTTCAGACCACAAATAGTGGTGTGACTTAACCTGTCCAAATGTCAGTCTCTGGTGCTGTACTGGATGGCCTCCAAGAGCCCTTCTGGCCCTAAGTCCCTGACACTGAAATTCCACAAAGGAAGAGGAATTGTAGCAGCTGCCTAACTGGGATGACATTTGGGGCCATTTTTGCATATAAGGGACACATGGACAACATCACATGCATATGATTTCCTAAAGGCTTGATTTCTTTTGAGTTTGGGGAGGTGGGAAGGGACTTTCTCTAGAGAAAGTTCCTCTACCATCCCAGTCTTATTCACTGTGCAACTATCTGCCTGCATCAGATTATCTTAGAGTTTTCTTTCATGAAAACCTCAGCAAAAGGTGCTAACAGAGTGACTTTAAATATTTGTTTTTATTTATTAAAACTTATGTTATTCATTTTTTATTTATATTTTGACTCAAAAAAAAAAAAAAGTTCAGTGCCTGATTTTCATTAGACTGTTTTGAGGCCTGAACTGATCTCTGAGATCCCTTCTAGCTCAAATATTCTACGAAATGACATCTTGCAAACATTTAGTGAAATTTGTAGGTCTTCTATTGTGACTTACTTAATCCAGAAGGTATTAAACCTATTTGCTGTGTTCTCCCCTACATCCTGTCCTCCCAAACAAACAAATGAACAAAACAACAAAGAAAAGCTAGACCTCTGCACTGTGGTTAGTGAATAGCACTGATGGAGTTCACCATGATAGATGAGGTAGGTTTTTCAGTCTCTCCAGGCGCACTTTGGAGTTGGATTAGACAAACAATTAGGGAAAAAGACCTTGTCCTTCTTTCCTCCAATTCCATGTGTGTTCATGTAGAATTTTAGAACGTCTTAGACACAACTATCTCATGTATGTGGTGTTTTAGACACAATACATATGGGGCTAGGAGGCTCTTCACTTGTTTCCAGTCTAAACTCTGTTAATAGTAATAACTTATATTTCACCAGTGCTTCCCAAGGGCTTTCTGTGTAAAGTACATCATCACTGTGAGGCAATCCATGCAAGTATAGTTACCTCCATTTTACAGCTGAAGAAACAGGCTTGGAGTGGTTAAGTGAATTTTCCCAAGGTCATATAAGTATTAAATGTCAGAACTGGGATTTGAACCTAGTTCTCCCCTGACTTCCAAGTCCAGTGCTCTTTGCATCACACTATACTCCTTAATAATTAGCTGTGTGACTTTAGGCAAATTAGTTATCCTATATTTAGGGTTTCTTCAAC